GGTTGAGAATGTTTCCTGGGAAGCTAAAATCCAAGTGGAGTGGTCCATTTGAAATTATTAGTGCGACACTTTTTGATGCATTAGCTTGAAGAACAAAAATAATAAAGTATTAAGAGACAATGGTCACAGGGTGAAGCAGTACTTGCGCAAGGTTGGAGATAGCCATATGGTGGCGGTTATTCACTTCCTTGAGGGTATTTTGCGTCGTGCCACGACGTTAAATCAGGTGCTTCTTGGAGGCAACCCATGTTCTTTTCCTTTTTCTTTTGTAGTTAGGTATTGTTTGTGTTTAGACTTAAGTTTGGGGGAGTTGATAAGTGTGGGTTTTAACCACTTATTAGTACCATTTTACCTTTGTTTTAGTCCGAAAGTATTGTTTTATGTTCCCAAAACTAATGAAAGTGTGCAAATTGCAGGAACGTCGGATATTTGGGCTAAAATGAAGAAATCCAACTCAAAAAGGAGTGTTCCGACTCATAAGGCAAGAAGGGGAGCAACATACCAAAAGTGCGATCCGCAGAGGTCTTTCTGCGGCTGCAGAAGCAAGTGCGGACCGCGAATTCTCCTCGCGGTCGTAGATCTATTACTGAAGTTCAGAGATGGAATGAAGAGAAGTGCAGACTGTACACGATTTATGCGGCCGGAGAACATGGTCCGCACTGACAAGAATTCAAAAAGTTTAGAGAGTGTGCAAAATAACCAAGACTGAGGCCTTGTTTGAAGTGCGGACCGTACATAAATTGTGCGGCCGCGGAAGCTGAATTGCAGCCGCAGACCAAATTGTACAGCTGCAAAATCCATTCCCCTGCGAACCCAAGCAATGTGCGGACCACACATGGAATTATGTGGGCGCAGAACCTCCCGAGGGACATTTTTGTCAGCAAATTTTGGGCCACTATAAATAGATGGGAATCATATTTTTAGGTCAAGTTTTGAAGTTTTCTCAGCTGTAGCCGTTGTAGTTTACTATTTTAGGAAATTTGTGATCATTTTGGGAGAAAAACATCATACTTTTTATCATTTTAATTTTATGTTATGGGTTTAATAAGTATTTCTTCTTTTTTTCTTCATTCTCTATTATGAGTAGCTAGACATTTACTAGGGTTGTTACCCAACCCTAGTGTGTAAACCTTATTGGTATTTAATTTAATGCTTGTTTATGATTGGGTGTTTGTTATTTAGCCTTGTTCGTGCTTTAATTTTAGAATTAATGGTTGCAAGCATTGATTCATGCCTTTTTGACTTGATCTTTGCTTGAGAAAGAGGGACCTAGCCTAGGAAAACTTGGCTAACAAGAAATTGGGCTAGTTAAGGATTTGACTAGCTTAATTAAAGGGTTTGAACTAGAGATAGAGAAAATCCGACTTGAGCTCATATCAACTATTGAGAAAGCCAAATTGGCAAAATCACTCTATGACCGAGAGGTATTGAGTGGGTAACTTTAAGTTGAGAGCTATAGTACAACCTGATCAATAAAACAAGTGTTAACGTACTTAACCCATTAGGCGAATGTTACATCCCTGGGCTTTTAACCTATTTGAAAATAGCCAAAAATTATTAGTCAATTTATAGTTTCATTTCTCTTATTGAGCATTGATAGTGTAGTTTATAGAAGTAAATTGCAAACCAATTTAACTGGAAGTTTATTTAAGTTGTTTCATCTTCACGCATCAAGTATACACTCTAACACCCATTGTTACCTCCCTATGGAAATCGACTCCGACTCATAGTTGGGTACTATTCTTCCAACGACCTCTTCCACTCATTGTTGAGTGTGGATTGGGATTGGATCAAGTATCTTACCTAAACTTGGTTGAGGCACTAGTTGCCTGAGATATTTGTGATAACTACGTGCTATGGGTGGCACTCATGTGTGGAGATTGAGCCCATGTGCATGCACCGAGGTATTATTCATGCTCGGCGTAGTGCTTAGGCTATGATATGCCTTGATTTGATTGCTAAGCTTTATGTTGTGATGTTCCTCCAATTTGTACCCCTTTTTTGAGCTATTTGTATCATATTTGAGGTTACATTGTGGTCAATCTCTATTGAACCTGATAATTGCTACTTTCGTGATGTATTTGCCGGATTGAGCTATGATATCACACTTTGCACATGCATACACTTTAGCATGTCTTTTATACCAGTCAAAGAGTATGAAACTTGACATTCATTGATAATGTACATGTATTCTTGTATATATGTTTTCTATGTTATATGATCTGGACTGGTAATTTGTGACCACGCCGGGCAGATTGTGATATTGAATCGTAACCACGCTGGGTGCATTCTGATTGTTGGTACGTGAGTTATCCGTAAAGTTGATATTATTGGCACGTGAGTTTTCCGCGTGGATCCAGATATTAATATTATTAGCATGTGAGTTATCCGTGCAACACGTGAATTGTCCGTGTGGTTGATATTATTAGCACGTGAGTTGTCCATGCAGCTTGTGGATATGGATCCATCCCCCTAGGATCACCCTCTTATGTTTCTTCTTGATGGTGTACACGCAAAAATTGAGGAAAACAGATCAATGGTTTGGTACTGTTATGGAAATTCTGAGGAAAAGCTGGCCAGTGTTTGATTTGGTTGTTGCATTTCATCTTTACTTGCAACTTCCTTGACTGTTATCTGCTTTAGTTGCATATCTTCTTAATATTTTGGAGTGCGTTAAGTAATTGTGTGCACCAAGGTGGTTCTTTCTATGATTCATGACCTAATCATATTACTGTTCTGTACTTGTTGCATTTATGAATTGTACAGGTGATTAGAGAGTATCATTTATAGTTCTTGTTTCTATTACCTCGTTGAGGTTAGTTATGATACTTGTGGAGTATATGGAGTTGGTTGTACTCATACTACACTCTACACTTAACTGTACAGATCCAGGTGCCGGACCGAGTTGTTGCTAGCTATGAGGTGTTACTGTGAGCATTTTGGAGAGACGAGGTAGAGTCGCATCCCGACCGCAGTCTTGGCGTCTCTTTTCCTTTTGCAATTTGCACTGTTATTTCCATTCAGACAATATCATTATTCTGTATTCCAGACTTGTAGTTTTGGAGTTCATGATATTGTATTACCAGTTTTGGGGATTGATTGTATTTTGACGCAGTTATTCGTGTTATGGCGTTAGACTTATACTATTTCGTTGTTATTTCTGTTATTACGTTCTGTTTTTGTTATGTTGGCTTGCCTAGCAAGTGAGTTAGGCTCCATCACGACCGATTGTGGTTTTGGGGTAGTGACATTTTCCTTACCTAGCTATTGGCACCTCCATCTTCTTGAACAACATGTATCAATTCATGATGCAAAATTCTACACTTCTTCTCATTATGACCCTACTTACTGCATGTCTTGTAATATTTTTGAAGATAATCATACCTGATTTTGATCCATTTTGTTTCTTCCCCGCTAGTTTCATCATCTTCTTCTACAACTTTAATTTTTTGTGGAAAGTTACCTAACAAGTCAACTTTCACCTCCACCTTTGTACAATTAGGTCTAGTACCTTTCTAATTAGTCATGTCAATATGTAGAGGCCTTCCTACGGTATTAACCAATAAAAGGACTTATTTGTTTCTAAAGAAACTTGGTGACATGTCTGGAAAGGAGATTCAAGCAATAGAAATAAAGGTAACCGCATATGGTTTCCACCTGGGAGACCACTTAAGTGTTCTCATTTGCCAATAATCACCTTGAGTTTTTAAATAAAAGACTGGTTTTGAGAGAAGAAGCACATAATACTTAAACAAAATTAGCTTGATCAATAGATGCGAACTCTCAATCAAACCAATAGTACATGGTCCTATGATCTTACATTGAAAAGGAATAACTTTGCATAACTCATGCAAATCCAACTTGCCATAAGAAAATTTACCAAGAATTTTTTTGGATTATAACCTATTGTACTTCATGTTTATTCCACTTTATAATAGGTTCTCCATAAAGAAACTTAATAGGTTTAATGGAAATAGGTAGATTGTTTGGCATGAAGGCATTTAATGCGACTGGTTTTAGGAGATTTACACAAATTTGGATGTTATTAAAATTTAAAAATATATTTTGCAGGTTGTATTGGATGGATAGACGACTGACTAACCACCCTAGAGGCTGGCCAGTGGCCGAAGAGGCCATGGATGAGCTTCTCTTTCGTTTCGCCTATGGGCCGTGGAAAATCGAGTTTGGATCGCTTGAGGAAGTCGCACAACTCCACGAGGATGCATATGCATTTGACGGATGATTTGGAAGGTGTGATAACTAGTGCTGCATAAGCTTATGAGAAGATTCAACAGGATAGCATTGCGAGATCATATGACAGTTATGAAGGAGGAGTATTGTGGTTTAACAGGATTTTTTTAGCATCGAGCGTTTATCATCGACGATTAGGTCATATGGGACTATGTTGTTATAGTTCTTGGATTAGGATATGCTTGTGGATTAACAATGATTTGAGAAGGGTGTCAAATGGCATGGCCATACGCCCGTTTGGCTCCTCACGGAGTATAGCTCACATCCAAACATGTGATTGGGGCTTGTAGAATGCCGACAACTACTTTTCACTTAATAAATAAGTGAAGGGGAGAGGGAAGCGAGGCTTAGCGAGCTTTATAAGGCCGACCATTACATAAGTCGCTGGCGAAGAAAGCTCGAATAGCTTCCCCTTCATTCATTACTAAACCAAGGTTCCAGGTCTTCGAGTGCTTTTTCGAAGAATCCTGTAGCAAAGGATCTGCATGGTTATATGAAGATGTTAGAATGATTCAGGATTCCGGTCATGGTCACAATTAAGGTGTATAATAATTTTTTTTTTGTTGGCAAATTAGGGGATGGTGTGTTATTCAGCCTAAGTATATTGTACATTGTGCTTCACTACTTGAACTAGCATGCCGGTACATACTACAAATTGTACATCATTCTTCATCACATGTACCTTAAATCAATGAAAGCCAAGTGTGACATGGTTTAGGTTCATGGGGTCTATAGATTCCACCATAACCAGACACGTGCGATATTGAAGATTTGAACAAGAAAAGACCAACTACCCACACATCGCCGCCTCGTATCCCCCACCCCCCACCCCCACGATTAATACACACACTGCTACTTCATCAAGAACCCCTTTGATATATTTATTCACTTGAAGCCTACTCTTCTTGGAAAGTCCGAAAACAGAAAAAACATACCCACAAAAACATATCTAGCCGTGGCAGTAGAAAACCCTTTTATTAGATCACCAGAGCCTTAGTTTTTCTCAGGCTTTGGATTCCAACATGGCATCTTCGTGGAGGGTCTTGTTTATTTTCTTCGTTTTTCTTGCTCTCGTTGTTCCTAATGTCAAAGCTGATGCTGGGTCATCGTTGGATGATGAAGTTGAAGTGGTTAGATCGGATGTTGAACCCACTTCTCAAGAATTGGACCTTCTTAAGTCCAAGATCCAATCTTTAGGTTAGTTCTGACTTTTCCCCTCTTTTTCTTGGAAAATTTATAATTGGTCTTGTGAGTTTTCATGTTTTGGTCTTAAAGGTGTTATCGTATTTAAAATTTGTTATTAATGAGCTGGAATTGTGAAGAAAAAAAGGTTTTATGAGTAGAACATTATTACAGGATGAAACAATGAACAGTGTTTTTGCTGTATTACTTATAATGTTCAACAGCGGTAGTAGAAATGGCTAGGTTGATGTTTTGGAGAGTGTAGTCTCTGGATTGTGGTCTGGTTTACTTGGCTAGAAGATTAGATGTAGAGGGGTAGATTTGTTCTGAGGTTAATTTGATGAGCTAATAGTTCTGAGTTATTTGAAGCTCTTATCTTTTTGGATTTCTTACATTGATGAGCTTGAATTCTAAAAAGGAAGAGGTTTTAGGTGAGTGTTGTGATGGATTATTCTGTTGACTTGTGATAAGTTATCTGTATTGTTCAAATAGGGTGTAGAAATGAGTATGTCAAATAGAAACTAAAGCTGTAAGCTATTACTATGTTCTTTTTTTTTCATCGTATTTCTTTATTTTGGAGGATAGAGGAACATGAATGTAAAAATCAGCTCATGTAACATGCGAGGATAAAATGAGGATTGTCTATTGCTTACTGCTTGAGGTTTATCAGTTTTTTTAGCTTCTGTTTTCTTTGGTGTTTCTTTGAGGCTATGTATCAGTGGGTTGAACTATGCATGTTTTGGCTTCATTTCCCGTGGCTCTGTGATTTATGCCCCCCCTCCCCCCCCAACACACACACACCCTAAAGAAAAGAAAACAAAAGTGGCTCTGTGGTATAAGGTGATGAACATTTTAAATAGAGCGTGACTGAGAGTCTATGGCCATCGATATATTTTGAATGAACTTAAGTTGGACATTTCCGTTTGTTGCCTTCTTCTTATGCAGGGTGCTACCTACTCTACATGTAAGTACTTCTAGTATGCGTTTGGTCAAAGTCTGAGTGAAGTTGAAAAAGTAATTATTTGAACTGAAGTTGAAAAGAAGTTCGTGGAAGTGGAGTAATTATTTGAACTGAAGTTGAAAAGAAGTTTGTGGAAGTTGAAGTTATATATTGATAGTTGTAGTTTTTTTTTTGGGGGAAAAAGTTTGTGAAAGTTCAAGATTTGTGGGTTGATGTTGAGAAAACTTATTTTAGGTCGAGATACACATTCAATCCACTCAGCGTGAAATAATATGAAGTTGAAATTCTCTACTTGTGAAATTAGCTTCAATATTTCAAATTGAAGTCCAAATTCTTTGAAAACTTGTGAAACAAACTTCCACTTGCAAATAAAGTATTGTTATTTGCAAGTGAATTTGTTAAAGAAACAGGTCCCTTAGATTTTGCTATAGGAAGCTGCAGACTCCAATTTGTTAGATTTCTCCAACTCCCAAGATTTATGTTGCAGTCTCAATAGAAGGGCCAATCCAAAGATGAACATAGTTGTTTTGATAACTTTGTACATTCGAAGCACAATAAAAGGCGCCGCCTATGTTCTTGGACCTAAAAAAAATGGTGACTTTTTGGTTTGGTAGCGAAGAATGTTCCAGAGATAGAGAGATACAGTTTAGGGAACTGCAGAAAATTTAGAGATAATATTTTAGTACCTTCCTCTGTTGTGAACTGTACAAATCTTGGAGTAATCTGCAAAAGAGCAGAGTGAATTTGGAATATTCACAACCAAAAATAACTCTCACATACCCATAAAATTATGAGACAGGATAATAAATTCGGGACCTATTCCGCAGTTGTCATACTTTGTGCTTTGTTGGTGTCAAGTACTCAGGCTGTTAAATTTCATATTGTTTTCTCTCTTGCTGTGAGATAATTCTGCAACAGTGAGTTTTGGATGGGTGCTTGGGATGTAGGGTGCTCCCATTTATTTTATTTTAAATAAAAGTACAAAATATTGATTGCTAGCCGTCTCTCTTTCCTTCTAATGGGGTTTCTTTTCTTCAAGAATCAAACATTGAGGAGACTGTGCGAGCACTGAAAGGAAAGGATGAGGTGATTGCTGACAAGGAGAAGATAATAAAAGAGAAGTCAGAGAGGGTTAAGTCATTGTCAACTGAATTGGCTTCTCTACAGGTGAGTCTCTCAAATTAGCAAGTTGGCTTTTGTATGCAATTTTAGTTTGATGAAAATGTCTCAACAGTGTTGATGTAGTTCGTAACCTCTTAAGTTGTATTGTTTTGTCTAGAATAAGGGAACACTAGATGCTGAGGAGCAAGTTGGAAAGGCTCGTGCACGAGCTGATCAGCTTGAAAAGCAAGTTGAGAGACTAAAAGAGGAAGTTGAAATGAAGAATAAGGAGAAAAAAGACTTTGAAGCCCATAAAGGTGAAACCGAGAAAAAAGTCACTGAGTTAAATTTGACGGTTGACAAGGTAAGCTCTTGATCTGCTTTATCTTTTTTATGAAAGAATAAGTAGCTCATTTGCTTTCGTTTTGCTTTTCTTTGCAAGTGGTGTTATCTTTGTCTTTGTTAGTCGCTACTGCAGATATTTTAACAATTGGAATTTCACTACAAAAGTTTCAACAACAAAGCATAAAGAAACTTCCTTTTTTTTTTTGATGAAGTAAGATAATATCATTGAAAGGGCATCAGGAAGATGCCAAATTACAATAACACAAAATATGTTTAGCTCCCGTACAAAAGGCAAAAAACATTGTACGCTCCAGTACAAGAGTACCTATGCTAGAACCAGTGAGCTAACAAAATCCAATAAAATGTCAACCCTATTAACAGGGGAGAGAAAGTTCCAACTGAACAAACTAACTAAACATCTAGCTTTTAGGGAATGTGTTGGAGTTGATATTCCATCAAGACATCTGCCATTTCTTTCCTTCCAAACAATCCAAAATATGACTGCTGGGATCATTCTCCATATTCTTTTGATGGCTTTGTCAACTCTACAAAAAATCCAGCTAATATAGGCTTCCTTGATGGTGTGAGGCATGATCCAAGTTATACCAAAAGTGGATAGGAAGAAGTTCCAAATATCAGCAGTGACTGGGCAATGAAGAAACAGATGGTTAACACTTTCTGATCTCTGCTGGCACATATAACATTTGTTGACTAAAGTAATGCTCCTTCTACTAAGATTGTCGTGTGTTAAAACTAAAGAAACTTTCATTTATTGCATTGTCAGTTAGGAGGTCCTTTATGCATTAACAAGATAAAAAGGAAAAAAAGTAAATCTATTATTGGTGAGCTGCATTATCCCTTTTTTTTTTAAATTTAAAAAAAAAAGATCCGTGGATTACATTTTGCTTGTCATTTAATGAGTGTTCCGTTTTAATCGAGCGCCTGGAGCCAAGTAACTCAATAGAGGTATTGGAAAAAGCAGTTTGATGTATGTTATTTTGGTTCTTGGTCACAGCTGTTGTCCTGCGCATCATTCTAGAGTTATTATGACAGCTATCTAACATTGTTCAATCACTGCAACAAACAGAAAATTACAAAAAAGAAACAACTTCTAAATGCTTTCCTGCTAGATTTTCTTTATCAATTTACACCTATAGTGGAGCTCATAGGAAAGATGGACATAGGACTTAAAATGTTAGCTGAAACATAGAAAGGTGAAGGTACTTATCAAGAAAAAGGAAAAAGAAAGAAAGGTGAAAGTGGCTGCAGAGCTCTGACTTTTATAAGCAGTGATCCTTTTGTCAAAAGAGCTCATAACCACAAAAGGATTCTCGAAGTTTGATAGGATCTAAATCTTTATAGCAAGGAATGTGAATAATTTGTGAAGAAAAGGTAAATAAGGAGTCAACATTATCAAAATGTTGAATAAATGAAGCCTAATGTAGCATAGGATATGAATGGGTGCCTCAGGAAACACCTTCATGTTGTCATATAAGAGGATAAACAAGATGCTGTAGTTGCATTGCTGTAATTAATTGAGTCCAAAAATTAGCTATTTAGAGAGTCTATCCAGTAGAATGTTTGCCTCCTCAAGAGACAGTGAATATAGTAGATTTTGGTAGTATTATAGTTTGGACAAGAAGAAGCTGGGAGAGCAGTCAAATAATTCTGGTTGGTCCGACAAATAAAAGAATGTTGGAAATGGAAAAGGGTGGTATGAAAGAACAAAAAGCTAACAAATTATTGTACTTATCTTTAATTGGAAGCCTCGGTTGTTTCAGTTATAATTATTTGCTTTTAGTCTCAAGTGTGTGGCAGACTGGCAGTGCATATGTTAATTTTGATGGGAAGCAAACCTTGTTAGAAAGACAGATCCCTTATCTCCTTTCACTAAAAAAAAACCGCTCTTCTCCTCTCGTACCCTGAGATGATGTCATATGAGAATTTTATACAGGAGTAAGCCGTGATGACTGTGTTCTTGAAGATACTGTGAAGCTTATATAAATGATGAAGTGTTCCGGGAATTTAAGCTGCCTTTTTAATTACACAAATTTATTTCCTTCTGCTGCTAAACAAACTTTAAATTGCCATGACTTCTTCTTGTGATGTCTACAAAGATTTGTTAGCTCTTGCTGCTGGTCCAATTAAGTTTTGGTGGCTACGTGCAATATTTCAGCCCAACTATACGAAGTGATTTTGTTTCTATTTGGTTTATGCAGCTCCAAAAGACCATTGATGAACAGAAGAAGAAACTGCAAAAAACTGAACGAGCTCTTCAACTTGCTGAGGTGTTCTTGATAGAAAACAGCTCAAAAGTTGTGAAACTTGTGTGGTGGATAACAATTTCTAAAGCCTCTCAATTTTGCTTTTCAGGAGGAAATGATTAGAGCAAGGTTTGAAGCCACATCGAAGGCGAAGGAGCTGATGGAGGTAGATGTTCTAATTCCCTTTTTTTATCATGTGAATTCAGGACTACAATTACTATTGAAAATAGGAGGTTCCATCTCAGTTTCTCAGCTAGCTGAGGAATCCTGTGATCCATGTTAATGATTCCTTTCTAGTATCCTGGTGCATTGGCCTACCATTCATACTATGTTACGAGTTTGATATGCCAGTTTTATGGGTTAGCTTTTTGTATCAGCCTTGTATGTCGGAACTGGGATATCAGTAGTTTTATGGACAGCAGGATGGTGGGTGATCTTAGTAGTAAGGGGTAGTGGTGTGGAGGTGATGCTGGTCTTTAGCTGGTGGTTTTAATGCTGCATTGTTTTTACTATTGGAGGCTAAAAGGGAAAAGAAATGTGTTGATAGATGTGGTCTAAACCATTTCTGTTATAAAGGATGATGGCCGTCATGTAAGTGGGTGATATTTGCTTAAGTGAAGAATAATGGAAGGATGACAACAATCATAAATACACAAGGCAAACAGGTCGAAGAGACAGGTATTCCTGAGGGATATGTGGGTTTCTTTTGGTGTTTGCATTAATGTGGATGCTGTAAATGTGTGGCTGCTGTCTTGTTTGGTGGTTGTCTATTTGCAACCTGTAAATGAATTTCGGGGGAGAAAAAAAATGCAGTCAGTCCTGCATATATTGGTAGATGGCATCTCTAAAGTTTTACAACTTGTCTGCCCTTTCTTTTAGGTGGTATAATAAAATATGGTCTTTTTTTGTTTAAATCATTGGTATCTGATAGAATGTCTTTGGATTCTGTTGATATATGGTTAGCATGCGGAAAAAAATTGTAATATGAAATTTAGCTAATTTTTCAAATTTTGCGGGTTATCATGAGCTTGTCTACAACTGTACTAGGGGTGGGCATCGGTCGGTTCAGGTCGGTTATGAATATTATTGGTTTAGCATATCGGTTATCGGTTTACAAATTTGATAAACCGATAACCGAACCGATAAGATATCGGTTATCGGGTATCGGTTAATCGGTTACCGATCATTATCGGTTCGGTTATCGGTTTACCCGATAAGATAACTCAATCTAGAGTTAAGGAAAAAAAAAGAAGACAATTCACTGGAGTTGAGCAAAAAAGGGAAGAATTTACATACAGTATACTACCCATTTCTGCGTTTTGTCCAGTGGCCACAACTGGAATAGTACTAGTTCTTCAACAACAATTGTCCAAATACATTAAATAATAATATAATAATAATAATAATAATACAAAGTAGTAGCTACTTCACCTTAAAATTAACAAGTCCAAACATATAGTATTAACAATTCAAATTCAAGTTAACAAGACAACAACTACTCAATCCTTATAGGCTTCACCAAAAAAACAGTGGATAAATACTAATCAAATTGCATCAATTCCCACAAAATGTTCCAAGGCATTAGGTGCCTCCTCCGATATGATAACAACAATAGTTGATTTAGAATAATTATTTCACACAATACCTGCACTTCCACGAGCGTTGAAGACCTCAAACAGTCCAAGATAAAGTGGATGTTGTTGTCAAATGCCTGAAAAAAGAAACCATAGAGCAATCCCTTTATGAAGATGAATTTTGTTACAGAAATTAAAAGCCGAATGTATAAGACTAAAGACTTACGCTAGGAGTAACTAGTAAGGTCTATGAAGAATGAAGATGTGGCAACTGAAGAGTGTGGGTGAGAAAGGATAGGAGAGAATGAACTGAAGCCTTAGCATATGTATATACTTAAGGATAAAGTCATAATTTTATTAATTCTTATTGGGTTATCGGTTAACCCATTAACAAAATTGGAAAATCGAGGCCCGAACCGATAATCCAATAGTGAAAAAATTCTAAACCATTACCGAACCGTTAACCCAGTAACCCGATAAACAATTAACGGTTCGGGTTATCGGTTTTACCCGATATATGCCCAGCCCTAAACTGTACCATTAGAGTGAGAACAATCTAATAAGAAGATAAAAAGTGCGGTTGGTTTTAACACGCACGTCATTAATATAAGGAGGAAAAGGTGGTTTTTGTGGTCCCCGTCTAAGTTGCGCGGACTCTTCGATTTTGGTGCCGTCCCCGTCTCGTAGACGGGGACGGGAGCAGGAGCGGGATACGTCCTGGATTCGGTCAACTGACTTCGGACACTTTGACCAGAGTCCATTGACAATTTGGGAGAAAAATTGAGATTTTGATTTCTCAAAATAAAATATAAAACAGATTTAGGAGAATGAAAGAATAATGTCCATCTTGGAGAATGAAAGATTGAATTCTACAATATTCATGTAAGTTTTTCACAGAATATCTCTCAAAATTTATAATAATTTATAGCTCTATTTTTAGTAGCCGAATCGCCCCGTATCCATACCCGTATCCGTACCCCTGGATCTTAAAATTTCGATTTTGCCGAATCCGATACTCGGATCCATCCCCGTATCATATACCCGCACCTGAGTCCGAGCAACTTAGGTCCCCGTTCTGTTTTCCGTCTTGCTTGGTTTTGGAGTTCTGGTATGTGGAAGTTGTCTGATTAGTGGTGACGTATGGCGATTTAGTTGTGAATCTTTTCGAATGTGAGTATCTGTTTCATGTGGTAAGATTATGCTTCCTACACTAGGGGTGTGCATTCGAATCGGTTTATCGATAAATCGAATCGATTATTTGTTATCGGTTTATCGATTTATCGATTTCGATTTCGATTTCGTAATTTTCCTTATCGAGTTATCGATTTCGATTTCGATTTTGTCCTCTTCGGTTATCGGTTTATCGATAAACCGATAAGAAATACTAAAAAAAAATAATTTTTTTAAATTTTTTTTAATTTTTTTTTACCCTTATTCTATAATACCCTTTCCTTTACCCTAAGTCCCTAACCCTATTATTTCATCTACCACATTTAAGGAATGATCATATTTAAAGCTCAAGGGAATGAAGTTCAAATTAATGGAAAATAGAATTGGCCGTGGTGATGTATTTTTATTTTTTTTATACCGTTGGAGTGTTGGTGGCATACATTTGATCCCTTGCTTTAGTTTCGTTGCATGTGCTTGTTGACCCAATTTTTATGTTATAAACGGTGTTCGTCTTATTTTAGCTTCTTTTGGTCCATATTAGTTAGGCGTGTTTATAGCGATATACTTTCCGTGGGTTTCCGCAAATTTTCTTATTGGTGTAATCGATAACCGAATCGATAAGCCCCAAAAATCGATAAATCGAAATCGAAAAAATCAAAACCTTATTGAAACGATAACGATAAGCATATGTACAGATCGATAATCAATAAGTAATTATCGATAAGGGTCAAAATCGAGTCGATAAATTGAATGCACACCCCTATCATGCACCTTGCATAACCTATCATAAAGTAGAAAAGGGATCAATGTTGCATTCTACATCATTCATTTGGTATGATACTTTTTTCATGTCAAGTTAAGTCTTGCAAGGAAAGACAGTAACATCAGCTTGTGTTTTATAATACTAATGCTTATATTTTTAGATAGGAAAATGCTAGTGCTTATTTTGTTTGCTGTTGCTTCCTTGTTCTTTTCCCTTTTCCAGCCTTGTTATGGTGTAGATGATGAATCATTATATATAAATGCTAACTTCTTTCTTTCCTTTCTTTGAAAACTCAGGTGCATGGGGCGTGGCTTCCACGTTGGCTGGCAGTTCGTTGGAGTCACTACCAGGTATTTTGAGCATAAAAGTTGTACTGAACATTATTGTAAATGGAGTGCTGATTATGCTGTGAATTTCAGTCTCTTTTGGAGAAGCATTGGCAGGAGCATGGGAAACCTGCCATGGACATAATGATACAGAAGGTATACACTTGTTGCTATTGGATATCCTTTTAAACTATCGACTATACAATGATGCTTGATTGATCTACTACTCTATCCTGTTTACCATTTTTACGTGCTTCTTAGGCAGTTGAGAAGAAGGCCCAAGCTGAGGTATGGGCTGCGCCACATGTAGAAACAGTCAAAACAGTACGTCAGCTTTGCATCATTTAGTATCTGATTTTTTATTGCCTTATTATTGCTTCATTTAGTCTAGTTTGTATTTCCATAACCTTCCAGATAAGAATTCACACAATTTTATTTGATGGCGTTGGTTGGGCACTTAGTTTAAGATTCATTTTGACATATATGTGTGTGTGTGTGTGGAAGAAAATAGTAAATAGTGGTTGAAAGAGTTAGTTTGATAAAGTACAAGTCATGAAAGTTGATTAATTTTATGGACTTATTCTTGGAAGTTTGTAAAGTTGGACAGAAATAGCACGATGTCGAATATTTTGGAATGTCCCAAAATGGTTTGAGTGTCACAGAAATTGAAAAGAAGAAAGAGCAGTGACTTCCTTTGTGTGGTCATGTCACTTTTCTGTATCTATTTCCCATCATCCCATGTATTTAATATATAGAGAAGTAATCTGCAATAGGTGGGTATGATTAATTTAGATGTCTCTACTTATCAAGGTGCAGCAAACACGGACGAAGATAGAACTAGATGTATCTGGGAGTTCCTGGTCTTGAAGAATTAATAAAGAAGTTATAGAATCTTGTTGTTTCTTCCTGTGAATTCTGATCTCGTGTGCTGAGATAATTCACCAACAAAAAACCTTAATAGGTGTTCGTATGATGGGCATTTTATTACCTAACATCATACTCACCCCATCATGGAAATAAGTACTTGGACATTAAAGCTAGACTAGTTTGAGATTTCCTGTTAACAATGCAATAAGTGGTACCTTACATTGGAAAAATGGTAGAGTATCTTTAAATTCTTCCCAAGAGGTGAGTTCTCGTCTGCTAAATGGCATATGGTCATCTGACATTCTGGAGGAGAAAAATCAAGAATAAGGACAAGCTACGGGGAAGATTCTTCGTTACTTTTTCAGATGTACATACAATTGTCTAACTGCAAACATTTATTATATCCCTTAAGCTAGTTTGCCTGTTGTATTTGAGATCAAGATAGAGGATCTTAGTAATTTTCTCGCGCTACTGTTTGTAGAAATGGATGCCAGCTGTGAAGGAACAATGGGTGGTGATCACCACTAACCTCAAGCCACACGCGGAATTGCTAAAGACTAAAACATTTGAAATTTATGAAACATCTAAAGGCGCGATAACTCCTCATATTGTCAAAGTTCAGGAAGTAGCAGAACCCCATGTTCAGGTGACATCCCTTGTTGAGTACATTTAAATGAACAATAATTTTTAACCTCTCATGAGTAGGTAGAATAAAAAATATAGTTTCATGTTCTTGCCATAAATGCATCAAATTTATAACTGCTACTACATGTTTTCCCGGCTTTATTTGTATGTAATGTGACAAAAGCATAATTTTTGCAGGAACTTAAGAAATTCAGCAAGCCATACATTGATCAGGTTGCCACTGCTACAAAACCTCATGTGGAGAAAGTCCGTATTGCTGTAAAGCCATACACAGATGTGGCAGTTCATCATTATGGAAAGTTCCTTGAGTCTGCAACAGTATACCATCATCAGGTGTGAGAAAATAAATTGATATGATAGTCCCTGAGTATTCAGATCTTACAGAGGTGTATTTGGGATTAAGATATACAGTCAGTCTCTTTGTAAATTTTTCCAGTAATTTTACTACTGCATCAGTTAATTGTGTATTCAAGTTTCAATAATCCCTGTAAAGTCGATTCTCCCCCCCAAAAAAAAAAAAGATCCTGTAGACTCTTTAAGTTACATTCCCTGCCTGTCTTGCTGCATCTGTATTCTTAGTGTGGAAGAGTCTTGTTATAAAGAATGATTTTGCTTTAGCTATTAAATTAACCAAATTAACTTGGGGAAATGTCTTGGGAATCAGTGCATGAAGAGTGGTTGAGTTACCGGTGTGTATTCCCAACATTCCCCAAGTTCTGACTATTTGTGGTTTAGCTCTGCCAATGATGGTCATTTTTCTTCTGCTGGTCGTGTTGGATTCTCTTTACCTTTTAAGATGATAAAGAAGAATGTAAATTGACTAGAAGAGTAGCTTTCAAACTCTGTCGGAAGAGGTAACGATGTTATAATATTTCTCATTCTGATCTTTACGAGTTGAATGATCTGGTGGAAGTATCTATGAAGTAGCGAATGTCTTTGCTATTATGCCTATGCTGCTTGAATGTCTTTGCCAGTATGCCTATGCTGCTTATAGCATTTAAATTATCTTGGTCCATCAATTCTAAATCAATGTTTCATGCCATTTGAAGCTGCAAGACACAGTCGACGAAACACTGAAGAAACATGAGCTTACAAGACCTCTTGCAACAAAGGAGTTTGTCTGGTTTGCTGTATGTATCTTTTATTCCTATTCTATGGTCTTGCCATCTCCTCTCTTTTTGATTCAATTTGATGATCTCATACTTGAAGTTCTTGCTGATTTTTATGATGTAGGCCTCAGCGGTGTTGGCTCTGCCAGTTATAATACTGTTCAAACTTTTGTCTGCCATTTTCTGGTTAGCACAGTTTTTTTTGTTCCCTTGTTTGCAAATTCGCAGTGATCTACCTTTTCTGCAGGTTTACTCTTTTAATGAGGCTCAGAATTCCCCGTCTTTTGATTATCTATTACAGCACAAAGGTGAAGAAACCCAGCCGAAATGGTCATGCACACCATTCACGTCGTAAGGCCAAGAGGGTACATGCAGACAAGTAGGCAAGGAAGTACACTGCTTTCATCAGAAATCAAGCGTTTTACGGTCACAGGTATCACATTGAATTAGTTTATGGATGCATTGATATCTTGCATCAGATTTATACTCCTATTTTCCATGTGTGTCTGGTGGATCAGATTTACAGTTTCAGGTTTTCAGATTAAAGGTTAATGGTAGTAGTATAGCATGTTTTTTAGGTCGCCTCTCTAAGAAATACTCTGAATCTCTTGGCATATGCTGCCTGCATGTTTTTTTGCTGCGATAAGGTGACTTTTGCGAACATATTTAATAACTGATAGAGACCAAATACAAGTCACTCTCCTTGCCAGCAAGAAAAAACGCCAAAAAGATGAGTGATGAAGGAGAGGTGAAAATATAAGCTTTTGAGAGGGCTGACTTGCTCATAAAATTTGTGCAAAAACAAAAATGAGGACTCCGTCTCAGTGTAATGGGCCGTGGGTAATTGCTGATGCCTTGCAACAGAAAGAAACAGAAGAGACCATGGAGAGTTTTCTATTTTGGAAAATTGTGTGGCAAGCCCTGCTCTATGTGCAGCTTTACCCTGAAAGGAAAATGAGGTTTGCTCCTTCCTGCTCTCCTGTGGTTCGCATGAAGGAAGAAGGATGTTGCGTATGGTTAGTCTGCTGTCTGCCCAAAATCCAAAGTAACACATGTCCTCAAGTTTATCTGGCTAGAAAAGTTCACCCCAGATTTAGCCACATATAATTGATAAAACATATTCCCTGAAGATATGGACAATTTCCTGTTGAATTTATGTGTCTTTGGGGAGTAACGCAGTAAAAACCAAAAGCCTTCGTGATATTACCTGTTAACAAATCTTTATTTCTGTGTGTGGCGAAAAAGGACATGCGTCTAGGCACATGATTATTGTGTTGTCCTCCACTGCTTGGCGTCTGATATTTTGGTTGTTTCATCTTTTGCAGGTTGGTTGTCATTCTGTCGCTGGGTGTTTGAAGTGTCGAGAGTCATCGTGCAGAATCTTTATGTTTTTGAAGTTTCTTGCCGTAGGTTTTTCATGATGTGCATAAAGCATAAATTGGGGATACAGAGGAGTAGGTTTGATATTTTTTTGTTGGTGTATCACAGCTTTTACATTGGTTAGTGTCGGTGTTGTGTACTATGATCTCTCCAGCGTGCTGTTACGTTAGAAACTTGTCACTCTTTCCACATCAAAGTTAATATATTGACTTAGTTGTATTATTTATTAAATGCAAAGAACTTGTCTTCGTTGTATTAGGATCTCCATATTCATAATTGATAAGAGGTTATTTCTGTTTAATCTTTTCTAATCATGTTTTTATGAAACGTCTTTATTTGGGTAAAAAGAAGGGTAAAAAGGGCCCTCACTGTGACAACAGACGGAATTACTACCACCCTTCGGCTAATATTCAAGCATCAAGGGTGGAGGATGTTTGCAATTCATGTGTTTTCTTTATTCTGATCTGTTCTTGTCTAAAGAGAACTTGTTCGAGGGAACATGAGACCAAGCATATGTGTTATTATTGTTACTGCTAACTTTTGTCGTGTGCTAAGTTTGGTCCAGTTGTACACCTCAATTTGCACCCTGTTTGAGACTAAAGCAGGCGGGGTGGCAACTTCGTCTTAAGATAAGATATAGTGCCTTTGCCATAGAGAATACTTCGAAAGGAAGTCTCTTGGGGTTCTAATGGAGCAAGTCTCCGAAAATTCGAACAATCTTGGCATGTTAGGCATTTTACTATTGTTGTAGCTCATCATGTGTATTTCATGACCTTATGCCGTTATGCGTATCAAGCTATTGACTGAAAAACAATGTCTATTACACTTGACACTCGTGTGTATTCCATGACCTTATGCGTATCAAGCTATTGACTGAAGGACAATTATCTATTCACACTTGACACATCACATGTAGATTGATGGATTTCTCATAGTTTGTACTCGCATATGCAACCATTTTTAGGGTAAGAGATTGTGCTCTGTGTAGCTAGCAGTATAAAGGCTCCACTATAACATGAGATTTTGCCATCAAACAGTTGCTATTATGCAGGGATCAAATTGCGTATACGCAATTTGAATATGGGATATGGGAAAGGTTATGGCGTTATATACGCACCACCACCTGATCAGTTGGTAAACATTGATGATTTGCCCACAGTGGTCGATATGATATGATGGGATGCCCTCAGAGGTGTGATGAGGTTATGGACATATATATGTATATGGGATATGGGAAAGGTTATGGCGTTATATACGCACCACCACCTGATCAGCTGGTATATATTGATGATTTGCCGACAGTGCCCGAGAAGATATGATGGATGCCCTCAGAGGCTTGATGATGTTATGAACACATGTATCTATGCACGACATGACATTCATACGCATATGCATGACATTATAAGTATTTCATGATTTATAGAGCTATCCAGACTTACAGGTTGAGTCCTTTACTCCGTGTTTCTTCCATGTCCTTAATTAACGTTGACTTATTGTTATGTTCCAATTCCGCCTTACATACTCGGTACATTATTCATACTGACGTCCTTTTGTTGGGGACGCTGCATTCATGCCTGCAGGTATAGACAATCAGTTTGACGAGCCCTCATAGTAAATGAAGTTAGCATTCAGCAAACACTACTAGAAATATGGAAAAAAGCGACCAAAATTTGGCGATCAAAATTGGTCTGTCAAGAAAAGCGACCAAAGTTGGTCGCTAAATTGGAGAAAATAATTAAATAATTATTCTAAATACATTAGCGACCAAGGTTGGTCGCTTTTTGGTCGATAATGTGGTCAAAATGTTGACCGGACTAGTCAGACTTGCTTATTGAAATTAGCGACCAACTTTGTCGCTAAAGTGGGACCCACTTATAAAATTGTAATAATTATATTATTATTTAAAAAAATTTATAAAATATAAATAAATACAATTTAAAATTAGCGACCAAAGTTGGTCGCTTACGAAAGGGGAAGCAGATAGAAACCAACTTTGGTCGCTAATCTACCCAGTTATAAAATTTTAATAATTATATTATTATTTAAATTTTTTTTATAAAATATAAATAAATATAATTCAAAGTTAGCGACCAAAGTTGGTCGCTTACGGAAGGGGAAGCAGATAGAGACCAACTTTGGTCGCTAATCTACCCAGTTATAAAATTTTAATAATTATATTATTATTTAAATTTTTTTTATAAAATATAAATAAATATAGATCGCTAATCTGGGACCCAGTTCTAACGTATAACAATTATATTATTATATTAAATAATATATAAAATATAAATAAATCTTATTTAAATTTAGTGACCAACTTTGGTCGCTAATTTTAATTTCTGCATAATTAGCGACCAACTTTGTCGCTAATTTTAATTTCTGGATAATTAGCGACCAAAGTTGGTCTTTTTTCAGGTCAACATTGGTTAAAATTAAAAATCACTTTTATATTTACTATCTAAATAATATAAATTTAATCCTTTAACACGTTTGTAATACAAGGGATGAATATACTAAAATATACTCTAACATGCTATATATGTATTTAAAGTAGTACAACGAAGCGTTTTATATCTATCTATATATATNNNTATATATATATATATATATATATATATATATATTTGTTCATCGACTTATAACCTACTCAGATGCATCGTTGAATATTAAAAATAATTACAATACAAATAATGAATACAATATAATGTACTATAACATGCTGTATATGTAGTTAAAGTAGCACCAAGTGTGTGTGTTATATATATACACACACTAACATATACTATAACAAGTTATATATACGTTATAGTATTACAGTGAAGTGTGTGTGTGTGTGTGTGTGTGTGTCTATATACATATATATATATATATATATATATATATATATATATATATATATATATATATATATAT